CGATCAAAAACACCCCATTTTGCTCCCTTCCCATAATCATATTGTCTCATTAATGTTAATCCAAGAACATGAGCGTTTAGGTCATGCAGGCGCACAAACAGTGCTATCGAATTTTCGCCTAAGGTTCTGGCCACTCGATGGTTTAAGGGAGACAAAACGTATAATCAACAATTGTATTACCTGTTTCCGATTCAGAGCTCAACCAGCAGAGCAAATTATGGCAAGTCTGCCAAAGGAGCGTGTGAATGTCTCCCGCTGTTTCAGCCAAGTTGGAATAGACTATGGCGGACCCTTCTTAATAAAATCGTCCAAGCTACGCAAAGCTCCCCTAATTAAATGCTATATTGCAATTTTTGTCTGCTTGGCCACCAAGGCAATTCATATTGAATTGGTGACAGGGCTCTCTACCGAACACTTCATCATGACATTGAAAAGATTTATTGCCCGGAGAGGTAACCCAACCGTGATACATAGTGACAATGCCACCAATTTCAAAGGCGCCCAAAATCAATTGAAGGAATTGCATAACTTTTTTAGAAATTGAACCCATTTGAACTCAATCAGGGACTTTCTCTCTCAAAATGAAACTGAATTCAAGTTCATCCCTCCAAGAAGTCCTCATTTCGGTGGCATTTGGGAGGCAGCAATTAAAAGCGCCAAATACCACATCGTCAGGCTGGTTGGGGAAACCCGCTTCACGTTTGAAGAGTTCTATACAATTTTAGTGCAAATTGAAGCCATATTGAACTCACGTCCCCTATGCGTTCTTTCAAACGACCCAAACGACTATCAAACTCTAACCCCTGGTCACTTCTTAATTGGTTCAAGCCTTACGGCTCACCCAGATAAGGATTTAAGTCATATTAATGAGAACCGCCTTTCTATGTGGCAGAAAATTTCACACATCCAACAAGTGCTTTCGAAGCGTTGGTCAGTGGACTATTTGAACAGACTCCAAAATCGACCTAAATGGTTCCGGAATTCTCTAGATCTAACCCCCAATACATTAGTACTTTTAAAGGAAGATGACACTCCACCTCTAAGATGGCCTTTAGCCAGAGTCTTAGAGGTATTCCCTGGACGAGACAATAAAACCAGAGTGGTAAAATTGAAAACACAAAGTGGTGTTTTTACTCGAGGAATAGCAAAGGTATGTCCTTTACCAATTCAGGATTAAAACCTGCTACTTTCTCTATTGTAAATATGTTGTTTATTTTTTTTTTGTTAATGTTTCGTCTCTCATTGAAGTTTGGAAACTTCAAGGGGGGGAATATGTTGCGGAAATAACCCACAACAAGTTTAAAATGTTATTATTTGTAGTCTATCAATATAATCTCAATTTCTATTATTTATCATAAAAATAATATTCAAAAAAAAGATTCCTGTAAAACTGGCAACAGCAACCCTTTTGAACCGGTAAAATTACAGATTTCTTCATTACCCTATGAGCAATGGATCTATTTCGTTGTTGTGATTGGTCAGTTGCCACCCAACATCCCTGATTTATGTGACCTGCTCCGAAAAAGGCAGTCGACTCGACGCACAGTAGTAGTAGTTATCAAGAAGTAGAAGAGTAAGGAAAGACTCTGCACCTTCGCGCCTCTGAACGCTTTACAGAGGCAAAAAACCCCCAGAAAACCCCCGTTAATACGCGATTTATAGTAAAATACTACTCTCAGTGTCTCAAGGCCTGACATGATCTATATTATCAACGATATTATTGATTACAATTCATGTAATTAACCCCTAAATTGTTGCAAGTCATCTCGGACTTAGCAAAATTCTCTACTACGCCTGTTTAAGGTTATTCCTGTCTCACTCTCGACGGGCTTCAACTCTGTATATCATTGTGTTCTCTCTCTTAGTGGAAAATCCCATAGCTGTCAGTGCAAATTACTACGAATAGTGATAAATGGATAAATAATCACTATATGGATTTTGGATTTACCTGTATGAACTGGAATAAGCAAGTAAGACCGTTTCAATTTCTCTAAACAGTCGAACAATAAGTTAATAAATACTGAATACTGATTCGGTTGAAATGCACTATAAATTGAAGTGTTTGTTCTAACCTTTAATACAGAAATTTGGTTTTCACACTCGTGAAATGAACATTTGTAAATTTGTATATAGAAACTGAGCATATATATATATAGACTTTTCTTGCACTTATTGTTTACACACATCAGCAGAAAAGTGCTCATTTATTAACTCTCAATAAACAAAAGAACTTTCAAGGATTATAAACATTTTGTGAATACAGTGAGCTGATTGAAGTTTACGAATTATTTGTGTTGTGCTCTCGTAAATCTAATTAGTTAATTTGTGTTCTCGTTCATTGAACATTTAACCATAATTGATATTATTATTATGAAATTTCACTATTTTTTTATAAATCAAGATACTTATTTACTCGCTTATTTACTTTAGATTAGTATAAAATTTGTAGTTCGACTGGACGTCCAAATAGGAATTATTAGATAGGATTTGATTGCTGATTAAACCGAATTAACTTCATTTATTAATTAAATTGATAACTATTCTATTTCAGCGTTTTATTTGTATAAATGAGAATCAAGGCACCCCTAACACAATACAAGGCTTAAATGATCCAACACTTAATGGTTAATTTTTACAGTCAGTCAAAGTAAAAACTTTTGACATCCCTGGTGCGGTAATGACTAAAGTTCACAAAAGGGTAATAGCTAGTTCCGTCACAGAGAGTATCGGATGTATCCAAATGTGAGATCGAATTGTATACAACTTCATCCAACAAATTACCTGAAAGCTGTCACACAATCACCTCCAAAGCAGAATTCGAAGTATGGCACCAGTTACAAGGCAACTCATGGTTGTTTGTTCTTTCTAAACCGACCCAATTAACTGTGGCGTGCGAGGACTTACCGCTGGAAGATGTTAGTATATCTTCAACAGGCATACTAAGCTTACAGCCTAAGTGTAAAGCTTACACCAAAGATATAATTTTAGAATCTACAGAAACTGTTTCAAAAAAATTTTCAAAACAAGTAGTTGATATAAACATTGCTCTAGACGACTGCTGTATTAAAAAAGAAATTCGGCTAAATAATACACCAACTGAACTCGAACCGATAAAAATATCCATTACAAAGTTGGACGAATTACAATTCGCAAACCATACACTTAACCAATTGGAAAAGTTGCTGGACGAAGAATTAAAAAAACCATTTATCGTACAACAGGCACACTGGTTTACCTTAGCTCTTTCACTCGTCGTTTCAGTTGTTATTCTTACAATATTATACAACTTTTTAAAATGGTGCGGTTTGCTAACCTGTTTGAAGAATCTATTCTGTTGCATAAGAGCACCAAGACATGCCTCCGATTCATGTTGTATAATTTTTTTTAACACAAACATCAACAATCCTACGCCAACCACAAGGCAACAACTTCCTCAAATCATGGGGGACGGAGCTTTAAAAGAAGAAGAAGAAATTGAACTTACACGATACCTTCCACAAACGGAACAAAGACACCAACCAAAATCTCCATCCACATCCATAAGAAGATCAATAACACCACGGCTAATGATTAGGATGTCATAAACAAATTTTTTTGTAAAATTTTATATTTTATATCCTATATTTTATATTTTATATTTTTATATTTTTCCCTTTTTTTTAGATTTAATATTAATATTCTATAATCGTAGACATATAGTTCTATTTTTCACGATAACTTTACTATTTTTGCTATGATTTAAGATATTTTTGCTACACAAAAATTTTTATAAGGAGGGAAGTGTTATGTACCAGTCCATTTTCAGTTATTTTTTAGGTATTTTTCCACTAATTTCAAAGTTCACTCTCTATCTAGTTTATTTATTTGCCTTCTTTCAGAAACCCTTAAACAAAAACACCATTAAATTTTAGTCTTCTTAAAATAATTACTACTTAATGCGGTAAACATAATTATTAATCTCTAACATTTTTATAGGATATTAAGTAGGTACTTCGGGATATAAAAAGGGCATTATTAGAAGAGCGAAGTAGTTAGTACATTCACGTTTCCTCGAATAGGTTTAAGTACTGTATTTGAAATATAGAATTAAAGTCAACAAACGAAGTTTCCCTACAAAGGATCACAACAGTATCTTCTCCGCACTAGTGCATAAAGTAATTCACTTCACACACTAGTGCGTAATGTAATATCAATGACAGATGTCAACACTGTCAATTTGGCATTTTTCTGGTAAATTACTTCACGCACTAGTGCGTAAAGTGAAAATTCTTCACGCACTAGTGCGTAAAGTATTTGTCCAAATTTATTTTTTTACACATATTTGATTGATAGTAGAAAAAAAATTGCATGCAATACGTGCGTAAAGCACCTTTTTTCACTCATGTGATTGTCGCACTCGCCTTCGGCTCGTGCGTCAAAATTCACATTCGTGAAAAAAGCTTTACTTTACACACTTGTTGCATAAATAACTATTTCCTACCTTTATCTCAGAATGACACAGAAAAATAGATTTTCCGACTTTCATCTCAGAATTATTAAAAAAAATAAAAATACTGTGGCCCTTCTACGCTTTCGTAGGTGGCCCCGTTTACACGTAGAAAAACAAGTGGTTAGTGCAACCGCGGCGTGACCTCGAGTAACCTTTTCCGACGTATTGCCATGTTGTAGCGGCGCCGTTGTGAGGACGGCGACGGATAGTCCAGCGAGTTTAGTTTAGCCAGTCGCATGAATTATTGGTCTAGGAAATCTAGGAATAGTAAAGACAGGGATTTTTTCGTCGGGATCATATTATAAAATGATAAGGCCTGATGATTGTAATAACTATTGAACTGAAAGAAAAGAAATTATTGGGACCGACATATTTTGCGCCAGTGCCACGGCCACTTGGTCGCGGGCGAGCCGCCACTGGTGAGAACCATATTTCTACTGAACTTGCTAAGGCCCCAAAACATGCGCAACTTCACTAAAAGATCCTACTAAAGTAACAAGTTGCTTTCGTGATTTTTTTATTAATACGAGCACACGAGATAGATTTTCAAGCTTTCAACAAAAGGGTCTAGGCTCGAACCGCTCAAAGTCACAATATGTCTTTTTGTTATTTTAGCAAAGTATATTTGAGGAAAATGGGCGATATATGCGGATTTTTTAGGCTCTTTATGTCAGTCAGAGCTTCAAATGCATGTAAATTATTCCAGAATCATTTCCTAATCACTTTACTATTTTGCAGCAACTTTCAGGGTTCCCTCCAAATGAAGGCATGACAGCGTCGAGTCCAATAACCTGAAAATCAAGTAAATCCAAATAGCAAATAGGCACACAAAAATATGAATTTTGCAGGATTAAAAATCTTTTATTTACGTTAAAAACAAATAGTCAGTTAGAGACTAACTCCACAAAGTTCTATTAAAAAAATTCGGTAGAACAAACGAAGCCTCGTGAATTTGAGAATTATAATAGCGTAAACTCAATGCCTCAATTTGATTTTCACTTAACCTATAAACAGGCTTAGTGAGATCTACGTTTTCATCTAAGGAAGCAACCAAATAGCCAATTTGCCCATTGGGATAAGTTGGAACACTGGATATTGAATATTTGACTGCAGGAAAGTGTTTTTGACAATTTTTTAGAGTTTCTTTGACGTGATGCAAGTCTGACCATACTGTACCTGCTTGAGAACAAATAACTCCTGAAAAACACAGTATAAGAAAACTTGCTAATGGCATAAGAACAGTTCTACCATGAGGTTTCAATGCAGTTTTCAACAAGTGAAAATAGCCTTCGGTAAAAAGGTTAACAGCAGGACCTACGGGATCTGAGGAATCGGTTATAATAACGTCAAACTCGTTTTGATGTTTTTTCATGTATTCAAAACCATCTCCCACCACTAAAGTCAACTTGGGTGATTCAAAACCCTTGGCCATAAATGGTAGGAATTTTTTACTTTGTTCTATTACCATTGAATCAATTTCCACCTACAAAATATTCAATCAAACTGTAAAATTCGGAGGTACTGAATTAAAACTCACTTGTACAAATTCTTTAACCAAAGGATGCTTAGCCACTTCCCTGGCAACTCCGCCGTCTCCTCCGCCAACAACAAGCACCTTTTCTGGGTTCTTATGGACGCACAATGGTAAAAAGCTTATCATTTCTTGATAGGAGAATTCGTCAAATTCCGTGCATTGAATTATTCCGTCTAAGATTAGGGCTCTTCCATGATTTTTGCTATTGAATACTTGAATTTGATACTATGAATTCCAAAAATAATTTGTTACTTACGTTTGCACAATCAGTACGTCTTGAAATTTGGATTTTTTATGAAAAAGAACTTGTTTTATTTCCAGTGAAAACGATTGACCTGGCCATAATTCGGAAACTTCACTAAACCATCCACTTTTCATTAAATCCATAATTAACAAAAAAAAAACACTAATTTATCGGAAGACAGGAATGAATTTTGGAATTTTTATTTAATTGGTCAATTGTTTGTTTATGCAATCGCGCCGATAAACAATGAACTCTTACAACAATTAACTACGAAATGCTGTTAGTTTTTATAACGCGATCCAATGTGGTTCTGAAGTTATTTGAAGATCGCAATTAGTTGTTATAAGCGCCTGTATTTATCAATAAATCAAGGCCAAGGATCCATCAGATAACTAGTTTACTTTTAAAAATAAATTTTGTTGTAATTTGCTTGTTTTAATCTCAGATAAAATAAAACCTAATATAACATTTAATTTTTGATATTTCTTGTGGCCATTCAGACTTATTTTTTCTAAAATCCCAAAGCACTTCTAGAGGTCGACAGGAAAAATAATAAGTGATGAAATTAGAAAAAAAAAAATAAATAAAAAAATAATGATGTTATGCCTACGGGCTCTACTATACAGGAATACTGAAATCATTTTATTTAACACTGATTGTTTATAGTGCGAGAGCTGACCGCAAGAAAAGGAGTCGGTACAGTAAATAGAGACCAATAAATCGCATTTACTAAAAAAATAGTTATTTTCCTAACAAGTGCGCAAAGTGATACTTTCCCGCACCAAAAAGCAGTTAGACGAACGACGCGAAGCGGAGTTCGGATAAGCTTTGAGTGCGGGAAAGACACTTTGCGCAAGTGTTAGGAACAATACTTTTTCTACGAGTGTTTGAAGATTTGCATCCAGAGGAGCTGTACCTAATTTTCTTAAATGTTTTCAGATGCTCAAAATTGGTAAATTTCTCTCCTAGTTCAATGTGTTGTGTTTTCAATATTTTTTTCAGTGATCAGCTTGACTTTATTTGCACGGCATTAGTTGTGCTAGCGACGTTTACTTAAAATTTGAACAAGTCGTTAATTTTATTTTTCTTGCCAAAATTTTGGTATGGAGGAGTATAACTTACAGTCCAACCTTTATAATCTGATACTCCACAGGAATGTGAGTTGGTGGCTCTCCATGCCAATGGTCACATGACCTCACATCTGTTTTTGCTGGATTTTTCCTCCCCTCGCTCCTCATACGGAAAGTGTCATATTAAAAAAGCTAAACATTACTCTAATGCCTTTCTTGGAATAAAAATAACATCAGGCCCTTCTTTCTGAATATAAATTATCCAGAAACTCACAAAACATTGAGAAACCGTACCGTCAAGTCCGACAGATCAAATGTGTGGGAAATAAAATTATCTATCTAATGATAATAAAATCAAGGTCATAGGACGATTAGCTGAATCACAATGGCCAGTCAAAGGTCAAAAGTGAGGGGTAGTTTTTGGTTTTTCGTGAATATTGTGAAACCGGTAAGTTTTTTCGAAGTACTTGAAATTACCTACAAAATGAGTGCTCAAACACTCATCTACTGTGAATAGTTTGCCGTCAATCCAACGACCAAGTTGACCGTGCACGCCGATGTTGACCGCGCGCGCTTAGGAAGTGTCAGAGCAAAAAACGCCTAGAGACGACGTATTTTTTCCTCCTCTATCCGATTTCAAAATTCGTGAAAATAAATGCAAAAGGCGTATACCCCATTCTACGCCCTTTCTCAAAATTGGGAGATAGGGATTAAAACCTTTCCTATATGTCGTAGAGAGCTGAAACTTGAAATTTAACCTTTTTTAGATCCCTTTCACCTACACTTTAAATTTCATCGAAATCGGCCCAAAAAAAATTTTTAGGGGCCCCCTAGGGGACTTTCCTTTCAAGATAGGGGTTTCTCGTAGTTTTTTTTCCAATGGACTCCGCACAAAAAGATAGGAAAAGTGGTCCCGGTTAAATCGTCTGAAATTTTGATATGATATACTTCTCGTTATCCTGATTAAAAGCTGTCATGGACGCAAAAAAATCTATCGAGGGGTTTCCGAGCTATAGGTCCTCAAAGACGTCATTTTGGATATAAATGAAGTCAGAGTTCAAATTGTATATTAAATATTGAATAGGTACATTGAATTACATTATTTGATCAAATATACTATTAAAAATAGAGTAAATAAACTTCAAAAGATCAGAAATGCTTAATTAGAATGAGTAAATATGTTAGAAAATGATACAATAGAGGTACTGTTTGTTTGTTATTAGTCCGGGTGTTTATCTGTTGTTTCTCCACATACCATTGAAAAATCTGTCGCGTTGATTTCGAGTTATAGCTTTGTTAGTTTTTTTTTTTTTTTAATTTGGTCAAGTATTATTGAAAGAGCAGTGAACGAAAAAAAATGTTATTTAGGTAAGTAGGTATCTACCTAAATGAGTAAGAAACTCAGGTCCTCCCATATACACGAATATTTGGTTAGTGTCGCGCGTAACCCAAATAACAAATAACTGCTTATATGTGTGCTCAAGTGCCCAGCGTTCTGGATCCTGACTGGCAGGTACAATAATGACCTCTTCCATTTTTAAAGTCATATTCAATGAAAATATTGTGCCTACGTTTCTGAAGCGCGAAAACACCCTTAATCTGATCAGATTGGGGTGATTCAGTAACAGGTCTTTTTGCAACTGCATTATTTGTTCCTCTGCGCCACAGAATATATAGCTAAACCGCAGTGCGGTTAAGCTATATATTCTGTGTCTGCGCATAGTGTCCTGGGTGTCAGATGGCGCAAGATTTATTTCATAGACACCTACAGTTGAGTCCCTCTATTCTAGATCCAAATGTGGAAAGTCTAGGGCATAGTTTTCGTGTAAGCGCCTCTACTGCGCATTTCTAACCCGTAGGTTTTCTTCTTCGGTGCAAATTATTTTCGCAAGGCGATCTTTGCAGTATTTGTTGGGCCATCTCAACTGTTGGTTCTTCCATTAGTACTGGCTCCCGGTATTTATTAAACATGGCCCCACAAATTCTGTAAAGATCGCCAAATATTTCAAGTGGACCGCAGATGCAGTTTTATCGAAAAAACGAAACACAGATTTAAAATGTTCATTTCGTGCTTCAATAATCCATCGAGATTTAGTTATTAGTCTTGATAGGTTAGCTTCTTCTGTCGACAATTGATGTTCGTGCGCCCTTAGTTGTGTTGGCATCCTACATTCAATTCCCAGCCTTTCCAACAAAGGCGTGACATCTCGGTAACCACGGTCCAGAATAAATATATCATGAGGTAGGAGCCAGCACTAATGGAAGGAGCAACAGTTGAGCTGGCTCAGCAAATACGGCAAAGATCGCTTGCCGAAAATAATTTGCAAGTTAGAATCGAACAAGGAAACCCGCGGGTTAGAAATGCGCCGAGAAATGCGCAGTGGAGGCGCTTACACCTTACACGAAAATCATGCCTAAGACTTTCCCCATTTGGATCCAGAATATCTGAGGGACTTACTGTAAGTGTCTATCAAATAAATCTTACGCCGTCGTAGCCAGGACACTATGCGCAGGGGAGCAAATAATGAATTAAAAGTCAAAGTCAGAAATAGCTTTATTGTATAAACCTTAAGTTGTTACAAAGCCTTGGTGATAGAGAACAAATAACAGCAGTTAAATACAAGACACAAATAATAATAAATTAACAATGCAGGTTAAAATTAAAACACTAGTCAATAAAACTCAATCAATAAAACCTAGAGTTCAATAATAATACATAAAGACCTACAATATACAGGGTGTCCCAAAAAGATACCGACAAACTTTAAGGGGTAGTAGGGGACATCAAAACAAGCATTTTTGTTTATATAAACATATGTCCGCAAATGAGCCACTTGGGCTGTAGACCAAAAACAACTGTTTGATACTTTTATTCTTCGCAATAATTAAATCACTGTTTACTTATTAATTTTGCTTTATTATCAAATAAATTATGGTTTAGAATAATTGTTCAAAATGTTGACCATTTACTTCAATGCAAAGATTACACCGTCCGGTCATCGACTGAAAAGTTTAGTCTACGAAACACCTGTTCGTAATGAGGAAAATCTGATAGCAAGGAAACTAGCGAGTTGTACCCATGTAGAAGCTAATCCCGGAATATTCCAAACAGTTCGCGAGCTGAACAATTATTGTAAACCATAATTTATTTGCTATTAAAGCAAAATTGATAAGTAAACAGTGATTTAATTATTGCGAAGAATAAAACTACATACCAAACAGTTTTTTTGCTCTACAGCCCAAATGGCTCATTTGCGGACACATGTTCATATAAACAAAAATGCTTGTTTTGATGTCCCCTACTACCCCTTAAAGTTTGTCGGTATCTTTTTGGGACACCCTGTACATGCATATAAATGGACAAAATCAATAAACTGAAAATATCCAAACAGGACATACTATACTATATATCAGCAAGAACAGTCTCATAAAATTCAGCCAAAGTATGATATGCCCCAGGTGCTAATAGCCTTTTTAGTATTCTCCGGAATTTTTTCAAGCAATTAATCTTCCTAACCTCTGTGGGCAGATGGTTAAAAAGTTTTTTGCCCTCATATAAAAAGGACCTTTTAACAAGTTGAGAATGAGGTATTGGAAGAATCAATCAGAAAGGATGACGGGTTGGATATGGTCCAATGTGGTTAAATTCATTCCTTGAATTGCAAATAGACCTGCTATTGAATTACCCAAATCTGATCAGGTAGGGTGTTTTCGCGCTTCAAAATGCAGTTAGACACCAGATTTTCATTGAATATGATTTTGATGATGTAAGAGGCTAAGAGGTCATTATGGTACCTACAAGTCATGATCCTGAACGCTGGGCATTTGTGCATACATAGCAACAGTTATTATTGGTATATTTGCGTTACCCGCAACACCAACCAAATATCCATTATCCATCAACCTAGTTACTATATCAGATACTGGAAACGTAGCTCCAAATAACGTACGTGTTATCAATTGAAACTAAAGTCCATCTAGCTTCATTATTTTCATTAATACCTATATTTATTTCTAATTTTTAGCATACTATACCTATGTATTTTTAATGTGAATCTTGAATTGTTGGTATTGGCATAAAATAAATTAAAAGTATAGGGTGTATATATATATATACACATAGATTCAAAAGTTTTGCATCACCTTGTATTTAAACGAAAAAAAAATTTTAGCGGCAGCAATTTTTTTTAGGTTTGTTTATCAATGTTTATCTTCCTAAATAGTCGCATATTTGTTGCCCGAAAAAAATGTTTACAATTTT